TATCACAAAAACGGCGTCACAAAAAGTAGGGGGAAAACACGGCCTGCTCTCGTTTCGATTTACATATTTAAATAGTTGCCCGATAGAATAGAATAATTCCTGAATTAACAGTCCCGTTTTGGCTGGGCATGGAAAATCGAATTTTCCGCCACCGAGTCTAAAAGTAAAATGCGCGCTACAGTAGAGGTGGAGAATCATCGATGCCAATATCGTTGTCATCGATGTTTTCAAAACATCCGTGTCATCGATGCTTAACGGAACAACATCGATGTTTTTCCATATCCCCTCTGCTTTTCCTCTGCCGCAGCGCTGCCCACATAAATGTTTAGAAAACGATGATCTGAATCATGGGAAACAGATGATCCAACATAAAAATGTAAAGAAATTGATCAGCTAACATAAAAATGTTAGGACAACGAAGTTTTAACATTGCCGAGAATCGCATGCGAGAAATCATAGAAAAATGTATTTGAAAGAGCGCAGAACCCGAAATCGGTCTGATAACAGAGTTGTTCCGGCATTTGACAGAGCGTAAGTCTGTTAGCCACCAACAAATTAAAAAATTTTAACAAAAATGTACCTTAAAAAAATTTTTGTTCAAATTTATACTCATATATAATTTCTATGTTTGTGTTGATTTAATTTCGTTAATTCTATTATTATTAATATTATTACGTCGTTTTTCTCAACGTTTCGTTTTTAGGGCTTGGTTGACTTTTTTCTGGAAATGCCCATATATATTCTTGATCAGCATCACTAGGAGTGTCGATCAAGCCATGTCTTTCCATCCTTCCGTTTCTACGCAAACTAGTTTCTCATTTTTAGTGCTATATGCATGAAACTTTCCCAAAAGTTATCCCGCTATAGCAGGTAGTATATAAGTCGGAACGAGCCGGATCGGACGACTATAGCATATGGATCCCTTTGAAACAATCAGAAAAAAAATGAAAATAATTATAACTTTGCTGTTTTTTAATTTTTTTTCTTGAAGAACTAGTAATTGTTAAATATTCCATAATTACTGTTTAAGTTTCATTTAAATCAACTTTTTACTTCAAAAAAATTTTTTTTGACATTTTAATAATGTAATAGTTTAGAATTATGCTTGTAATTTGCTTGCCATAGAAATGTTTTAAGACAAATTTTAGATGTTTTAAATAGTATTTAATTTATTTTAGAGGTATATAAACTTGTTTAATCAAAAAATCAATCACTTACAAAAAAAGAAATCGAGAACTATACAAAATATTTTGAATGCCATTTTTTGATTACCTTCTGCACCGGAAAATAAAGGTTTGATGTGTGGAGGAATTCATCGATTTAAATTTGTAAACCAAGGTTATTTATTCAAATATCTATAAGACAGCATAGATTGCGGAGAAACGTACAAACCGACATCGCTAAATCGACTCGAGTGTTGATCTTTATATAAAATATATATACTTTACATATATAAAGTATATATATATATATATACATTAAGAGCTTTCACAAAAATGGTGTGATCATCCTTACAAATATACTAAGTTACGCCGACTGGATAGAGAAAATCGTGGTTGATTATTAAGAAAATAAGTATTATTGTGCCTTATTACTCATTTTTAAATAAAAAATAGACCCAAATTTCGTTTAAGAAAATCTTTTAAAATATGAACAACGTTTAATATTATTATAAAAGTTTTCAATCAAAATAAACCTTGATTTCTAAAACCAGAAATGATGGAGTCAATAAGTTTGTCCCACAGAATTTAATGAATAATACATTATCATGAAAGGAAATAATCGGTAAATCCAAATAATCAGATAAACACAATGGACGAATCTTATAAAAAACGTAAAAAATACAAAAGTTAATTATTTCAAAGTAAATCACAGAAAGCGAAGATAGGGTCTCTTAAACATGCAAAAACCATTGGATATTCACAGGAGCTTATTGTCCATGATACATATAAACACGTCAATTAAGTGACATTTCCTTGCATTCTTGCCCACTTTTGTGCAGTTAATTGAAATGAATATTTGACCGACCGCAAACGAGTTTCCCGCAATGGAAATTGATTTTTTTGGATGGCATAACAGGGCTGGGGCCAGAGTCCTGTGTGCAGGGATAACAACACGATTGTAATTCCTTGATAATTTCAAAGGGCACGAAACAAGTGAGTGTGTGCAGCACTTTCAGGGTAAACATTTCAATATCGTGGCATTTCCATAATATCGATCCAAAGCTGGCAGCTGACGGCGTGTGGGTGCAGCTCTTTTATCTTTGGTCTGAAAAACGAAACAAATACCCATTATCCTTGTACTTGAACGACTGCAGCTAAGTGCAAGTAATTGAATCCTAAGGACGGGGTTCATTTTGCGAAACTGCGTCGTCTGCTGCCTTGATTGGATGTCTCTAACGACGATTTTATGAATCGAGAAAGTACATTTTTATACACTAAAGCCACAGGCAGGGTCAAGTTTGCATGGAGACAAAAAAAAAACTATCAAAAATGCTAGACAAAATCTATCATAAATGGTACATTCTGGTTAACTTGTTTACTTTCAGAATAATTATAACGATTTAATTATATACAAATTAAGAACACAGCCATTCAGAATAAGAATCTTAAACCGATGTTTCTCTCAGTGTAAGATGTTATAATGATAACGATTTGCAGAGCTCACAATGGCAAAATAATTTCGATTAGATTGCTGAATATAATTGAATTGGAAGCCGGGCAAAAAGAGGCGAATTGGTCTTAGGATGGGCACTCAATTTCTTAACTAAAAAATTAATAAAGTCCTTTTTATGACTTTTTTTTTGATCTAGAATATTGTGAATGTTCTAAGTACATAACCAAGCTGAGAAAAGTGTGAAAGAAACTTATCCTGCATTAACTAAATTTCATTAAGTGAATGTAATAACAAAAGAAACACTGCTTTCATTTTTTATTTTTATATGGTTCTGTTTAATATTAGTGTTACTTGTAATGCTAAACTATTATTAATAAAAACCTTTAGTAAGTCGAATAAGTCTCAAAAAACTTTGTTAAGTATGGATATAAAAAAACACCATTAAAAAAATAATTTTGAACTTAACAAACAATATCTATATTTAAAACTTTGATAAGGCATAAAGAAAATCCACAAAGTCATTTGCAAACAAACAAAAGCCCGTAAACGGAAAACCGCCAAAGTTTTGCCCCAAAGTTGCGAGCTGTAGAGCAGAAGCTATTGAAAGTAGTCCGTAGTCCGTAGTCTGTAGTCCTAGTTCAAGTTCATTAGGGCCGAATGTTGAGTGCGTGTGTGCGGCTTAAACTTTCAGCTGGAAAACATAGCAATAATAATAATAATAACGCCCAGCAACCCCCAAAGCTCTCTCGCCTCCGCCACCGGCTATTATGTAAGCCCCAAGCATTTCTCAAGGACACGCCGCAGGACGAACCAAAATAGCAAATCAGACAGCTCCTTCATCGCCATCTCCTCGACCATAGTTCATCAGACAGATCGAGGGCCACGGGATGCGGAGCACAACAATTTCATTACATATAATACATTTGCCATGACCATGGACGAAGGACAAAGGCCACTGCTACGCAGCATTACAGTAAATCAGGCAAAAAAAAAACCCAACCGAAATTCCATTTTCTTGGGGCGTGACAAGCGGACAATAGTTATGGCTTTGCCGCAACGGAATCGGAGCCAAAAACCTTATAATGCAAACTACTGTGAAGTCTATTTGCCAGAGTGCAAAGCACTTAAGTTCATTTGGTTCTTTTATAACTCGTAAATTATCATACTCTCTACTTCCATATAAACATTTAGAAATATAAAATTATATTGCAAAACAATAAAAAAATTGCTGATGAGCAGAGAATTTGATTTACGAATTCTTAAGATGAATAAATGGACGGCTTCACTCTTGCAAGTATTTTCTAGCATGTTTGAATGTATACAAATCAAGTATTTTCTCTTATTCTGTGAGTTACTTAAATCTTCTGTTTTAAAAGGAAATTTTTTAATAGTAAGTACAAATTTGGATTTCTTGATGGTTAAGTTTTATAGAAAATGTTATGTTGAAGACCAATATTTTTGAGAAAATAAATTGACTTAAAATTAAGAAAGTTGGAAAAGTTAGACTTAACTTTACTTATAATGCTGTATCCACAAGACGGAACACATTTATAACACATCAGAAACAACCATAACAAACAACGCGCTTGCGGTTGTTTTTGCATTATATAAAACTCCCCCTACCCACAAATACAGACAACATCACACACTCAACACACAAAAACAATGCTGAAAACGTAGCCTGCTTTTCAGAGCTGGATGCAGTTGTTATTGTTTTTGTTATTGTTAAGAGCTGCTGCAGCGACTGTGACGTAAAAATGGCCGCGGCATAGACAATTTGTTTTTGTTTAGCGTAGGCCGTTACCGTTACATGCGCAAAGGAGAGCCAAAAAACATCTGTTTGCCGATTTTTTGTAAGCGCGTGGGAGAGAAAGTAACCGTAAATGGGAGCGGGAGAAAGAGAGCGAGACCGCGAGAGAGTGATACTTTTTTTCCTGCACCTGATGACAGAATGTTTTTTTTTCCACGAACGATTTATGGCTTTTGGCAAAGTCAAACTCTGACGAAAAGGACAGACGAAAAATCGGTAAACATAATACCGAACTCCGTTATTATGCAATTGGTATATCAATAAAAAAAATACCTAAATCAGATTTCCCAATAATTATGTAAGACTTAATGAGACTTACCGTTATTTTGATAGACACGCCTAAGTTGAATTGTAATTGTTGTATTTCTTATCAACATCTTTCACCAGATTTTCCGTTTTTTTTCAGACATTTCGTATTTTGCGTTAAGACTTACGAATTTGTTTTACGATTTAGCACTATTTGAAATACACTAACACACACACAGCCCGGCCTTAATTTTATTTTAATTTTTCTGCAGGAGGAGGGCGGAGTAGGCGGCGGCTGCGACGTCGGCAGCGGCGGGGGCAGCGGCGTTTACAGCGAACGCTTCAGCACATTTAAGTTTTGCATCAGACTCGCCGTTTTCATGTAAACGGCAAATAATTTGATGTGATTCTTGTGGAAACTAGTGTACTTGCTGCTAAAGAACCGCCGCTGGCACATTTTCACTGCCGATTCGATGGACACGCGCTGATGACTGAATTTTCCTCACGACGCCAGCTTTTCCAGCCAGCAGGACATTCGCAAGACCTCATTTCGATTGCCGTCCGATAGGCGGGCTATCGAATCGAAAATTGAACTAGTCGGTGCACCGGAAAAAATTGTAACCTTATTATTTACCGTGTCATTTAATTTAATTTTAATATTATTACAATAATATATCGGCAGTGTTGGGGAGTACCTATATTTTTTATTACTGTTTACCTTCCCTACGACACATTTTTGTTCAAATTGTAAAATAGTAATCTAGATAATTTATGAGTAAATGCATATGAATTTTAACAATTTTCTTTCCAGATCTTTATTGTTCGTGGCTTAGTTCTATATTTAGGCGGGCTGTTCTTATATCTTGAATTTTCAACATAATTTAATGTTTATTGATCCACAAAGTTAACTCTCAAAAAATCATGTTTCCTAATCAAATCTAAATTCTATGGTTATCAGAGGGTCAGAAAACGACCGACATGCAGCTTAAACTAGGGTAGACCTGCAAATTTTTAAAGTGTGAAGAAAGTTACCATGAAAATAATCACAAACATTTTGTTCAATAACAAACAAAGTTTCTTTTATTTAATTTCATTCAAAATTAGCAGTTTCCAAGCAAAACTGTCCTGCAAACGGCTTACAATTTGTGCGCACATCCCCGAGACAAGCGATCAACGGATCAGAGAATATAAATTAAGTGACTCAACGATTAAGTACCCGAGCCTGTGGCGGCAGTGGTCAACCAAAGGAACATGAAAAAAATTCTTATAAAATATGGAAAGTACAGGGTGATAGAGCGAGAGAGAGAGAGAGAGAAAGAGAGAGAGCTGTGCGTCTTGGGATCCAGGGAATTGATCTCTAGGGTATGCCTAATGTACGAACTAAACGATAAGTATACAATAAAGTCTTTTATCAAAATCACAAAATCACAAAGCAGGAAATCAACGCAGGCCGAGATCGTTGAGTGGGCGACGGGTGATTGGGATTGGGATCACAGCTTGCAGAGGCAGAACAGCAGCGGTATGAAGGCCCCGATGGCGATGAAGACCGGCAACAGGATGGAGGAGTCGTCCATGGAGTACGGATTGGGCTGACGTGGCCCGCTATATGATCGCTTGGAGTCTGACGATTGCTGTGACAACTGATCGCTGCCCAGCTGATCATTGTGCTGCTGCTGATCGGCCACCTCATCCTCAAACTCCTCGTCGTCCAGATCCTCGTCATCCTCATCGATATCCTCCCGCTGGTTGCGCACCACCCGCTCCACCTGTCCTGGCTTCTGTTCGGCATTTTGCTTGCCCTCCGGCTTGATCCTTTCACTCGCCTCAGTGCCATGCAGTCGCGCGACTTGGCTCACATCTCCTTTGAGCAAGGCGAAGGCATTGATCTTGGGATTATCCAGGGCTCCCTTGATGAAGTCGAGTCGCAGGCGACCATTCCGCACATCGGATACCTCGCCCTCGTAGTTTAATCGACCATTGTTGATCTTGAAGTACACGATCTCGTCGTGGGCCGAGCCCCTGCCCACCTGGTTGTAGATGTCCAGTTGCCGGACGACCACGTGCTTTCGGTTGAGGAGCACATCGAATACTTTCTTCTGCGGCGCATCGAAGTAAACCTCACAGAACTTCATTATCAGGGCGTAATCTCCATCGCCATCGCTGGGTAAGTCATAGCCAAAGGTGGTGGTGTGATAGCGTTCGGTCCTGTAGAGCACCTCGTCCTGTTCCTGCACCCGGCCAATCATCAGCAGGTGTTTGCCGTAATCCGAAGCGATCCCAATGCCCTTCAAAGGATCCGCATCGTATTGGACGCCATTTAGATCGGTGTGCTCATCTCCGCCAGCGTTAACGGCGTATATGACTTTCAGGGGTTCGGCGGCTGAGGAGCTAGCGATTAGGATGAGTGCCAGGAGCAGGAACAGGGGCATCCAGGTCCTTTGACCACTTGCCCGCAAGCAGTCCCAGCAAAGCAGCCCCCTTTTCCATGCTACGTTGCACATGTCAGCAGTTTTTGTTTTGCCCCAGAATTCACTTTGCATTTTCCCCGTTCGGAGGACCTCTTTTCTGGCTTCTGAGTTTTCCGGAATTTGTCCTGGTCGAAGTCCCGTCGCCTAACTAGCTAAAGTGATTCTAGCTCGCTTAAGGGGCCGCAATAAATCCATCAACAAATTTATTTCTATACAGAGCGTACAGGGCTGCAACGATGGGTTCTCAACTGAAGGAACCAGTGAACCGCGGAACTGGTTCTTGGAGCTGGTATTTCTGGAGCTCCGATATTTTTTGTAATTATTTGTTTTTATTTTTCTTCGAAAATTAAAAATACATTGAGGTATTGAAATAAAAACAAATTTTCTTTTCATAAGAAATTTATGTCTTAAAAACTTATATATGTACAACAATTTTACTATTATATACCTGGTTAAAATCTCTAATTGGTATATTTCAGTATTTTTCATTCAACATACAGAATATTTTGGCGCCCAATAGCCGGTCACACTGACCTACACGTGCATTGATGTGATTAAGATTTACTGCGAAAATAGCCCACGAAAAGTGGTTTAAAACGCGTAAATTGAGTAAAAGTTAATTCTGCAGGCAGTGCCGCAGCACTGAGGATTACCAGAGCACCGATTCCACAAAAGGACAGTCATGTATTTCGACGACGAGGACCGATTGGAGCTGCAGATTCTGGCAGGCGGCAACATCGTGGAACATGCGCCCGTCTTCTCGCCCGATGGAAGGTTAGTGCTCCTCTAATACCATGCAGAACTATATGGTTAACCGCGATTCCTATCCGCCAGATTTATGTTCGTGCGATGCCAGACAAATGTACAGGTGTATGCAACAAGTACGGGTGAACTTACCCGAGTTCTGGACGATGCCACGGCGCCATTGATCAGCTTGGAGTTGGACCTCAAGCAACCGGAACTCTTGATCGGTTGTACAAGCACGGGGGAGCTGGTCCGCTGGAATTGGCGGGCGGGAGTGCTCAAGAAAACAGTGGCCTTAAAGCTAGACTCTGGCGACACCACTGTCTTAACATGCCACCTGATGAACCTCTATAAAGGTGGCGACACAGCCTGCGCCTTTGTGACCACAAAGAGGAAAAGTGGCGACCAGGTCAATTGGTTTGTGGTCAACACGAATACGGGTGAAAAGATTGAAGTCAACTGCGGCCTCAAGCTAAAGTGAGTAACCACCTCAGATATCCCTTTCCAAAACCATATTATCTCAAGATACCAAGATAACATCTTTCTAAACTGTGGAAACTTTAATTTCAAATATTGTTTTAACAAATTTCTAAACATTATAAATACTGCTCAATTTGTTATTATACAACTATAAATGTTTTTTTAGAATATGTCCTTAAAATTATTTGAAGAATAAGAACACAGAATTTTCAATAATGTTAAATGATTAAATATGTTAAAGGTTTTGTAGAGTAGTTTTGATATTTCAAATACCTGTTGCTGACTTGCTTACCCTACAAAATTGAAGGGTATAGTTAAAGGTTGAGTTTGAGTTAAAATAATTTAAAACCGCTTTTTAAGTTTAAAAATCCATATCTAATGTATGTTTAATTTCAACAGAGTTCGTACTCCCCTGGTGGACGTGGGAAAGGGTGAGTTCAAGTACATAGTCCTGGCTCAGGGCTTCTACATCTATTTTGTGAATTATGTTACGTGGAAATTCTGTCGCTATAAGAACTTTCTTAAGCAAACCGTCACCTGTGTACGGATGAGTCCCTGCGAAATGGTGGCGGCCATCGGTGATTCCAATGGCAAGATTTACCTTTGGCGGGATTTTGAGCAAAAGGAAACGATGACCAGCACGCTGTTCCATTGGCATTACATGGAGGTGACCAGTCTGGCATTTTCGCCCTCAGGCGCAAGCATCTATAGCGGCGGACATGAGACCGTCCTGGTGAAATGGCCCATAGCCACGCCCGAAAATCGCACGTACTTGCCCAGAATGTCCAATGTAATCCGACACATTGTGGTCAGCAATGACAATGAGACTGTCTTGGTTTGCACGGAGGATAATGCGATTATACTGATAACTGGCAGCAGTTGCCAAATAAAATCCACTGTCCAGCATTTTACATACGAGACCAAGAATAAGACGGGCTTGGGCAAGTTCCCCGTGGGCTTGCGCTTGAATCCAAGAACCAATACACTAGTGCTGAATGGCAGATCTGGACACTTGCAGTTCTATTCGGCCTACACCAAGAGTATGCTGTATAATGTGAGTTGTTATTGAAATGCTGGATTTACTTGTATTTTAAATTGAAATTTGCATTCCCTTGTAGCTACGCGTGGTGGACACTAATTTCCGTAGTGAGGAGGACAATCATATTATCTACAATACTCGTATAACACGAGCTGCCTTTAATATCAATTGGATGGCAACTGGAGAGGTGTACAATGATATGGAGACTTTTGCCGAAGTGCGTCTCAAATTCTGGCAATACAATGAAAAGTTGCAGAGGTAAGTTTGAAAGTAATATAATATTTTTTTAAAGTAATATAATTTTATACTTTCCTGCAGTTACATTCTAAACACGGAGATAGATCTGCCACATGAGCATGGTTTTAAGGACATTATCTTCTCCAATCAGTTCCAGGTGGACAATCTGCGCTGTGCCACAGCTGGTGAGGATAACGTTATAAAGGTGTGGGGCCTCACAGACTCCGAAAACATCTACAAGCGTGGATCAATGTGGTGTTGCCTGGCGCAAACAAGCTATCGAAATCTGCCCATTGGCTCCCTGTGCTTCTCACAGGATGGCTCTCTGTTGGCCGTGGGTTACGGCAATATTTTGGCGCTTTACGATGCAAGGAATCCGCGGCTGCCCCTTCAAACACTGAGCTGTCCACCCGGCCTAGATGGTGTAATATCCAAAGCTCAGTTGAGATTGGCCCAGACGCCATTGAATGGAGCTAGGAAAGAACTTACACAGCAAAGGCAGCAATTGTGGGCTTTGTTAAAGACCCTGCTGAATAGCAACGATGAGAAGTTGATTAATCAGGCCAAGGACTTAATAGTGGGTCCTCCAGCCAAAGCAAAGCTCATGAATCAGCCGGAAAATGCCAGCAAGGAGTCAGTGTTTAGGTACATAATGAAAATGCCCGAACTGGGCTTGCATCAGAAATTGCAACTGCTGCGACGCTTTGGGGTCGAATGTTCCGTCCCGCAGGCCCATCGAAATCGGTTGATGGAGCATCTTCAGCAAAGGGCGCAGATTCCTCAAGCTACGAGGTTGAGACTACGCAAACTGGACGCCCGATTGCATCGGCTGCACACGCGACATCGTTACAAAGCCAAACAGCGACTAAGTCATTTGACTAGGCGGCGGCAGAACTTCGAGGATTTGGTGCCGCAGGATGTGATGAACCTGTTCAGCGTCCTCAAGATCGATGAGAGCAGTAAACCGAGAAAGGAGGATGCTAAAAAAAAATCAATGCTGGATGAGAGCAGCAAAGGCACGCCAAAAGTGAAGAGAATTCCAGCAAAGGCAGCTCCGTTGCAGGGATTGGCGCAAATTTCACAAGTGCAATTTGGAGCCGGCGATCAGGCTCATCTGGTGGCAGTCTGCACCGAATCAAGGGTTCTCATCTGGAACCTACTGACGCTGCGACTGCAGGCAGGTCTGAAACTATCCGTTCGTCAGCTGGCCTTTGATCCGCTCACCAATCTAATGGCTGTCATTACGAAAAATGATGAACGTGAGTCTATTTGGAATATCAATTAACCATTGACCCGTTTATTAATTTGCATTACTTGTTGCATCCTTTAGTGCACGTCTTCCAGCCGAATGTTCCGCTGCCCCTTTATCAGCGCAGTAATCTGCCCAAAACGTATGGTTTGGCCTGGTTGCCGAGGAGACAACCCAAGCAGAGCTCCATCAACGTGGACTGGCAGGCGCAGTCCACGCTGTTGATGCTCACCCATTCGCAGGAGATTGCATACCTGGCGCCACCGGGTCAGAGTCCATCGGATGATGCGCCAGCGCCGATCAGTTTTGCTCAGTCCGCTGCCACGGAAAATCTGCTGAAGCACGCGACATTCGGCATTCATGCGACCAAGCAGCAGCAGGCTTCCACTGAATCCCCGGAGAAGAGTGGCCCTCTAATCGTGGGACGAGGAGAACACAGTGCCGTCAATGCGGTGAGTTTAATTTATACTACTTATTAGCATTTTAAATAATAATCTCTAAGTTTGCACTACACTTCGTTTAACATTATTTAAACATAATTTATTCTCATAATCAATTCATTCGATTCGATTATTATTCCCAATGAATTTACCCAATTTCAAACACAAATGATTCAGGATTTGGAAATGAGAAATTTCGTTTATAAAATTTGTTTTATTGAATTCTTACAAATCTATGAAGTACAATTGGTTAGACTTAACATTAGATTAGAAATTCTATGATAAATGGTATTATATATTTGATTTAGCTTTGGTCTGGTTTAGAAATCCTTTAAAAATGTTTGTAATTTATCTTGTTGCTCAGTCGTTTTGAGTATTGACGATGATTGTCTGTGGGCCGAATACTATTTCTTCTTTCGCTTGAGGACATCGCCCAAACGCGGCGCCGTAGGGACTCGCAAATGGCGACAACGTCGCATCATCAGGACATCGTGCTTGAAGTAGCGCAGACAATGCCATTGAGGGACTTTGGGCATCAGTTGTTGGTGCTGAAAATTTGATTATTATAGGGATTAAACTACAGGAGTCAAAACACCATTTAAATAAATTGCCTCCTAATAATACGAACAAAATCTTTTCAAATGTATACTTGTAAATATTCTGTGCAATATATTTCTATATGGTCTACAAAAGGAGTTTAGAGTTCAGGATATATTTTTTCAAGACTCTGACGTCGCTTTACTTTGACCTGAGTCGTCACTATATTTTTTGTCCCTTTTGCTTTTTAGTTTTTCTGTTCTTTTGTGTTTTCTGTCTGCGCCCAACTGGCGTTCAACTCAATTTGAATAATTTCCATTGAGATTTATAACGCTGTTTTCTCGAAGTGGGTTTTATTTTTGGACCCGCCATTCAATTGTGCCTTCGCTTAGGATTTATGTAAATCACGTGAGTTATAGCAGCCTAGCAACTGAACAATCTGCTTTAGGGATTTTGGGATAGGTCTGCTCGGAACATAAATTCATCGAGTTGGATATGTATTATCACATGATACCTTACTCATGTTAAACGATGAGAAGCCGAAAAAATATTATAATGGACGGCTTGGCAATCAGCTGAACTTGACTCCGCCAATTTGGGGGTATTCCTTTCCAAAGATAATTCCAGTAATCAGTTGTTATTTTTACAATTAATTAATTACTTTGTTTATTCTATCAAGGGTCAAGTTGATAAGGGAATAGGATCCATATGGAATATTATATAAACTGCTGTCGCCTATAGGAAATCTCGGTGATCTTGGAAATGAAACATTTGCTTCCCATCTATATTTAGTTGAAAAGATTAATAACACACGCCGCAAAAGTGTGCGACAAACAAATTTTGTTATTTTCCAGACTAAATGGCAAATGGTTGGGGTTATTGTTGTTTTTAAAATGACTGGCTCTACTCTTATGCCTTAACTTTGCCAAGATCAGTATTTTGTATAAATATCTTAGGAACTTATATTTTTATATTGATGTTTAATTTGTTTCTGGAAAATTCTTATTCCTATATATTTGCATACCTTCTGAAGGAGAATTCAATTTTCTAAATGTTAAAAAGATTAAAATTAAAATTAAATTAAATTAAAATTGATAGATATTAATAAATATCAGAACCTATTTAATCCAAGTGCTCTAAATCCTAAAATTTGGATGAACTAGTTTTTAAAATTGAATAAATGGGATATGGTTATATCTTATTTTTAAAAAATTTTCCCTTGCTTTGAAAGTGGGTGGTAGACGTTATGTGTATGACTGCTCTTCCTATATGCAACTTTGATGGGTTTTCTTCCCCCGTTGTTTTTAATTCAAAAGCAATCTTTTAATTAAGAGTGCACTTTGTTTTTCTCGCGATTCTTAACGCCCACTTTTAATTAGCGAGTTTGCACTTCCTGCATATTGCAGCTGGGGCAGCCATTTTATTTTGGAATGCGAATGAAGTCATTGCCCCAAATTCGTGCCCCCTGCTGTACTCCTTTTTCACTTGACACACGGCACATGGCACATGCCACATGCCACATGCCCCATTGCCCCCTGCCATCCACTCACCTCATTCACAATTGGCACAGGTCCAGCTTTTGCCCAAGTAAAGAATGCAAGGCATAGCATGGAAATGACGGCAACAAAGTTGGGCCACATTTTCCAATTTTCCGTATCCGGGTGAGGAGGAGGAAGAGTTACACGCCTCTGCACTGCACTCTGCACCGTTCCAAATGCTGTTTGTTTTCGTTTTTGTTTAATTCGTAAATCGCTCGTAAATCGTTTAATCTGGATTTTGGCACTTTTTGTCAGTTGCAGGAGAGGATGAACTTTTGTCCGCCTTTATTTCCGTAAACTTTAGCGGCTCGCGCTTCCGGCTCTCTTCTTTCCGGCTAACGGTTGTTGCTGCGGAACACAACGGTAAAGTGTTGAGCTGTCGCCGCGGCTCTCGTCAATTTATACTCGCAGCTCCGGACTTCGGCTCCGGAATTCCACTTCGGCACTGGCTTCGGCTTCGTTTTGTTATGATTGTGGGTTGAGCTCGCTCTTTTCTGCTCTTTGCTCCGATGACTTGTGCACTTGCCAATGCCCATTGTGAACGGACAACTGGGGCTGGTGCAAGAGCACCGCTGCACAGTGGGGTAGGGTGGTAGAAATCCTAACAGAACATGAAGTTTTCTTATTTGAAGGGTTTAATTCTTAATATCTTATTTTAAAAATTTTGGTTTTGGGCTATCGAAATTCGATGAGTTATCCCTTATTTAGCATCCTTTAAAAACACAACCCAACCCAAAGACATGAGTGGAAAATAAAATTTTTGAAGAAATAAAAAATGATTCTGTAACTTTAAGATCATCAAAGTAGTAAATTATATTATACCTTTTCTGATGAAATAAAAAAAACTAAATCAATTTTTTAAATCTCAGCTTTCAAAATTAAATATATTATATAAATATTATTATATTATAAATATTTTTTAAAAAATAAATATTGATTGTAAAGAAATATAATCACTAAAGAACAAAAAAAAATATATTTTCTAAACATCTAACCATTGTTGATAGCATTTTAAATTCGTTTTTAGTTATAACTTAAAATGTTCTTTTAAATTTATATTAAAAAAGTAGAAACAAAATTTAACAACATTATTGTTTCCAATCATTTTGAAATATGACAAAATTTCTGTGTAGCCTCTAAAAGCTTTTTTGTCAAGTTACTGATTATTAACACCACTGTGCCCAGAATTGAACTCACCCCTCATTTCTCCCTTAAGCCATTGTCCCCTGAATTTATTGTTTATGCGTGTAGCAAGCAATTTTCATTGCGTGCTTGTGACACTTTAGTTTTTCCCGATAATATTCGATTATGTTCGTCCAATAATTAAGATCGCTTTGTTTGACGTTGTAAATTTTTGCGACTCTGTTGCTACGTGCAATTTTGTATTTGGCGTAATTACTTACGCCAATTACCGTATTCTTTGAGAATTTATACTAGTTTTAGTCGGTTGCTGAAAATGAACTCAATTCTCGGTTCAGTCTTATCGCTAGTGAATCAGTTTGAGTCATCAGTGAGTGTCTTTTCCTGGGAAAAACAATAATATTTTGCAACTAACCACTTAAGGAATTGACAGACATGTTTGCACTTGGATTGTTTTTGCCAATTTCGTTTAGTATGCATCAAAATGGATCAACAATATCCACAGGCGGCAAGCGCATGCGCGAAGGTTAATAGTCACACGGTATTCGGCGCATTTAAAAGACGCTCAGCAATGACAAAACAGAAAACCGAAAAATAATAATGTGATTACCATTGTCCAGCGCTGAACTTGAACCACAATCTCGACACCCAAAAAAATGCAAATATTATCAACTACAGACGCATCTTAATAGTGTTGGGGTTATAGCTTTTTTAAAGCTAGGCTTATTTGAAAATTTATTGAACCATAAAAAACTATGAAAAAGCTATTTCAACTTTTCAAAATTGTTGTAACTTTCTTTTGACTTCTTTCCTAAATGAATAAGTAAAAGGTAAATTTGTCGCTTTAAAGCTTAAACCGGTTTAAAATTTTATTGTATTTTTATATATAGTTTGTTAAACTTTAATGCACTTTAAACCGTTAAAACAAGTGGCTCAACGAAACCAAGTAAGAGCTTATAAAAATTAAAATTTACAATGGACAATTTCAAAATAGCGTTGTAACTTATTACAATATATCCAGTAAAACTTGATTTAAAAATATGCTTCTTTTTAGTATTTACCTTGATACATTTGATTGTTTATTGTTTTTCCTTGGCAACTAAAAAATCCATTTACAAAAAAAAACATTTTATATTGTTTGAATCTGGCTATCTTTGGACCCAAAAAAAATCGGTCATCTCTACCACTTCTAACACAGTTTTTGAACTTCAGCAAGGTCAATGCCAATTAATATTTAATTTCGGTATTACAGTTTGTCAATCTTTCCGCCCACACGATGCCCGCCATGAGCCTGATTTGTAGCGAATTCGTCAAATCTCTAGTGACACAGGCAGACTCAACCTCGAGGCATTTATCGAAATCCGGAGAAGATGCCCCACTGACCAACGGAGGCTCCGTCAATGGCAATGGACTGTTGCACGGGCACAGTGATGATGAGCTGGAGAATGAAGAGCTGGCGGAGGAAGGCGAGGCGACGGGAAGCACTTTGGACACCCGGAAAACGCTCCTGGAGCAGAATGAAAAGCTGGACGATCTGCTACCCGAAGGGGAAACTGACCAGCAGACGTTGGATAATCGATTAAAAACCATCACGTCGCTGAGAACCAAACTAAAGTTATAAATGTAAAAAAAACCTATTAGTTGTTCTTAAAAAGTTTGATTAATTCTTCTATTTTTGTATAAGACAAAGAAAATAAAAGTCATAATGCAATAAATAAGTTTTTTGACAGTTAAAAGGAAACTACAGAAATATTTAATTAGATTTTTAAGGAAGGGGAAAACATATTTTATAATTTTTAATTTTAAAGCAACTTAAAAAACTCACTTATACATTTTTTTACTTTGATCTTTACTTACCAACACATGGAATTTATAAAATCATAGTTCTTAGTTTGGTTCCTATACTAATGACTGAATTTTATTTTTATAATGTTTACAGTAGATAAATGATAGTAAAATATTTATTAAGTTAAAAGAATCGCCGGCGTGGTATCAAACCGGCATGGGACAACACATTGTAGATTTCCATACGTGGGATTTTCTCAGCTTGGCGATCTAAAACCTAGAGGAAAATTTTACTATATTAAGCTTTAATGGCAAATTATTGATACACTGTTAAAAAATAGTATAGTAATAAGTAATATCTGGTAATTGAGTCATACATTTTATTTTGAATTAAATGCAGTGCGGAAAATATTGCATTTAAAGTAAGTAAAGTAAATTGCCATATTTTTGTAAATGCTTTTAATTTAAGTTTAATATGGTTTTAATTTAAATTAAATATTTCAGATATTAAAATCGGTTTCTAAAATAGTCCTTAAAAAACAATTTAATATATATTATTATATATAGTAACTAAAAAGCACAATGGATGCAAATCAAACCGAGAAATAATTTATTTGAGTATGAAATACTTGTATTTAATAGTTTATTTGTATCGATGTATCATATTTTTCTTTATATAAGTATATTTCTATAGTTGCGCTTTCTATAAGGTGGATGACTTTGTATATATTTTCTTAACTTTTGTGTAAGCTAAATCTTCACACTATATACTGATACTGTTGTGGAACTCACCACCTCCTCGCCGGGTCCAAACCAACTGGATCTGGCCAGGGCGTCCCTCACCCTGGGAGTATTATAGAAGGGATTCTGGAACTGCTGGGGGAGGGTCTTCTCCCAGGCGGCGTTCTCCACCACCGCAATGTGCTGCAGATTCCTCTGGGGTCTGGCTTCGGTTGTTATGGCTAGGGCCACCATTGCCACAATCAACGCTGACCAGATGAAACGACCGGGCAGGAGGCACCTTGAATGACAGAGGAGAAGAAGATCACGCCTCGTTGAGTTCGGCTGACGGACAGATTCCACTTGCTCGGCTTAAGGTGTATTATCATGATGATCATTACATAATTGTGGCGTGCATATAATATTACAAGTTTCCGCCTGTCACGCACACACACGCATCCCCGGTCCCCCATCCCCCATCCCCGCAATCCAGTCCACGCCTAAATGACCGCTTTTCACTCTCGGGAGCCCGGGACAACTTGTTGGCCAAGTCAGCTGACTGGGGGACAGTGCTGGCAATTTGGCTTAATATCTGACAGTCAAACATCCATAAAACGAACTTTAGGTCATTTAAAATTTAGCATATATGAAATAACTTCTATCAATGAAATAAAATTGATTCAAATTGTTGTCATTTAAAGCGGAAAATTTTTTCACTTTTTGGGTATTAACTATTCACCCGCAAAAAAAAATTTTTTTTCTTAAATTAAACGTTCTTAAAATACGACAAAATGTTTAAAATTCTCTTTAAACCCAATTTATTACTTACAAATTTAATTTGTTAAACCTTCTAAAGGTTTTTCAGTTTATAAGCTTTGTTTAGGATATTTTCCTGGCAACACTGACTTCGAGCACTGGGAGTTTCTATTTGTCTGCCGTGGCAAAACTCGGTTGTCATGTGACTGCCATTTCCTAGATGTCGCGTGCTGCGGGCAGAAAAACTATGCTGCATATATATTTTCCAGCGTCATGCGTCTGCTGCTTGGCTTGAGCGGCCCACTTTGGCTGCAAAAAGATCCCTGATCTTTGCTTTTAATTGGATAACCGGCAGTGACGACCACTAGCCGCTTGTTTCTGGCCGGTGATGTAAGTTTTGGACTTGATATTGCCACTTGCGGCACTGGCGGCACTTGCGCTTTCGCAGTTTGGCTTCGAGTCAGAGGCAGCCTTGCCGCCCTTCGGTCAACCTGCAAACTCATGGTTTGCCGTTGGTTAATGGCAATTTATATGGCCAAAAGATCGCCAAAGCCGGGCTGGATAATGTGTATTTTATACAGTCAGAGAGGAGAGGGGATATTGTATGATGCAACTTCAAACTCGGGGTAGCAATTTTATAAATGTATGATAGTCCTTAAAAAGACTACTTAAGGTTTCCATGCTGTTTTGACTGATATACTTGCATTTTTTATTTTTGAATTTTAATTCTTTAATTTTTTACAAAGATTTTTAAATATACTTAATTCAATTGTATATCAAAGATCTATAAATTGTAATTATAAATATTATGGAAATTGTAAAAAAAATAGTTTTAACGAATTAACTTCTTGATAAAAACTGTTGAATTTGCAATAACAATTTATAAAATATAAAAATTTAAATTAAAATGGAATTATTTCAATGGTATGTTGGTATGATCTTTTCTTTTTATTATTATTTTAAATTTTATTTTAGATTTTATTCCAAACATTTTTAAGTTAGACTGTTGCTAGGACAATTAGCTTGGAATTTATTATTATTTTATCGACATTTAAAACAATTTTTGATTCCTCTGTAACATAAATGTATGTGCATTGTTTATCGAAAGTTAAGAAATAATAATAATATCTTTCATAGATCTTTCAGTTTATTGACCCATCCATTTGGGCGTTTTGATGGGTATCCGTAGGACCTCTTTTAATTTGAAACTTATTATTTCATTGGAAATCGACATTTGATTATATTTGCATTATTTTTTATAAAAAAAAAACATGTGATTTCTTATCACTTATGAGACTTTATAGATTTCTTCCCTTGATTTTTCAGTTCAGTGACCCACCCATTTGGGTGTTTTGAGTGGTATCCCCAAGACCACCGCGATCACAACCAAATGATGTCCCATGACTCGTTGGCTGCATTTCGCCTTCGGTTGCTATCCAAGCCGTCTTACCGGCCACCTTATGCAATTCTGGCGCTTTTGCGCATGCGAAAAGACCGCAGCCTTCCCAGTCAAAAATGTGTTGGCATTTTCAGGTTTTCATGCTTATTTTGTATACCAAGCCAGGCAATTGTTGCTGGGACGACGACTACTACGGTTACTTACTTGCGATCTGCAACCGCGAGTCTTGTTGTTGGGTCTGATTAGGTCAATGGAATCCAATTGGCGTCAACGTCGCGTCGCTGCAGTTTCGCTTTTTTACAGCCATATATATATATATATATATATATGTATGTATATATATGCATAAACATATAGTACGACGCTCCATTCCATTCCATTCCAGCATTCCCAATTTGGGTCATGTGTTTAATTGACAAAGATTGACGTATTGTGTATGATTGTTATGCTACGACATCCACAAATTTGTTTATACTATTTTGCATACAATGAGGAAATATGCTAACGCATCTGTTATATTTTTTTATTTTTCTCGATTGAGTGGGATCAAAAAACTGGATCTGAAAATTAGGTTGAATCGCTACCGTTATTGGGTGAAAGGTCACAGGAACCTTGGACACGAAAACTGGAGCCGAAAAAAATAACAGAGATGATAAAAACCCGGTTCGCACTTAACGCTCATTACAAGTTAAGCCGGCAAGTGAAGCAAGTGATCGTTAATTTTCGAAAGTGTGAACTTTTTAAACCGTTTCAAGGTTGCCGTCCCGTCTTTGAGGATGGTGCACATTTAATTTCCATGAAGGTTTTAATTAAAACTCTTGTACTACAAGTTATTCTTTGTAATAGTTGGAGACCGTTTTGCAATATGACTATTCAAAAAATTTTAAGCCATTGTTATGGTGGCTTTATTTTGACTAAGACTTTGAGAAAGGCAAGAGTTTGTTTTTAAAAATATTTTTAATGCTTTTAATTATTTAGAATTTTCTTAGATGTAAATATTATAAAAATTGTCTCAAAAAGCAAGTTCTGTAAATATTCACAGAAATTCCAAAATTTAATTATATACAAAAAAGAAATACTAATACATTTTATAATATTGAACTATATTTTAGTTCAATTTTGTTTAGTTTTCTTATTGACGAAGGGGAAAACTTTTATCCTCGATGTTTTACTACCGTAATATATTTTATTGTGAAATTCACTTGAAATTATATTAGTATTCAATAATGCCCAATTAAAAATTTCACAACATTTGCCACTAAAAAAACTATGTCAGCTTTTTTGATCACGTATGTACGTACCACTAAAAGGTAACTCCCCTTTTCGCCCCCAACACACCCACTCTCAACTGCCACGCCCCTTTTCAACGTTTGTGGTCAATATTGATATGCGGTCATTGTGGATCATATTTATTAGCCAAATGGCGTAAGTGGGCAAAGCATTTGGCATTTGTTTTTGGGTCTGCAGGGGGGTTAATTGAAAATACTGGACGGCATGACAATCGTAACAGTTTTTTTTTCGGTCATTGCATTATTGTTATTATTTTTTTTAAGGTTTATTGTGGCTGGTTTTCATGAATTCGGTTTGGTTTTTAGCAACGCTTTTTTCTTGGACATTTTTGGGCATTTGTTAAAAAAACGTGACCGTTAAACTAAATTATGTGTTGAGTACACCCGTCGTTGAATTTTTCATTTTTGTACATTTTATGCTCGTCAGTCAATGTTACCGACTTTACTCTATTGTTGTAGTTGCTGTTGCTCTTGTGATAGGTCAAGTTGTTTATGGTTTTTCTTTTTAATTTTTGTTGTGGTACGAATAGTTTTTGTCACATTTTTTCTTGACTCTTTGGGTGACAACCGCATCGAATTTGTAATTTATGCTGCTTTTTTCATGCTTAAAGATTATGCAATTTTTTGAATTAAGATTTTCCTTAAAAATTATGCAAAACAATCTGTTTTTTTTTCTTTAGCACAAATTAAAAATTATTAATTTAACTTAACAGGCATATAATATAAATGTTTCACATATAAGCATTATTAAAATTTGTATTTTATATTAAGCTATATGATATATTGTTTTAATTATCGTTTGTTTTAATTAATTTGGTAAGAGGTTTTAGTTTAAAGTCTTCTTATTATTTATCACCAAGTAACAACAAACTTATTTTAATAAAATTAACTCAATAGGCACTTTTTAACTTTTATTACTTATTAAAAATTTACACAAAAATTTGTATAAATTTGTTAAAACACAATGATTAAAACTCACATTTTGTAGGTCTGTTAAAACTGGATTAAAGTATTTGGAAAAATAATTGAGTTTATATTATGGTTAAGGATCGAAAAGATTGTTTAGATTTTTAAATAGCCGCTAACAGTTGTTGATTTGAACGCGGCAAATTGGCAACTGAATTTAAGTTTGAGTTAACCAACAGACACAGACTGGCCAAAGCCGAAGATCCGATCGGTTGGCAGGTTTTGGACAAAACTTGAAAGTTTTCAAAACTGAAAAAAGAGAGGCTAAACGAAAACGAAAATGAAAACGAAAACGGAAACTCAACGAAGCATGCGGCAAAAGCTGAGTAAAGCTGGGGTTGAGGGATCCGCTTCCATATTATTTAGGCCTTTAATTAATTTTGGAATTAATTATTCTTCTTTCAGAAAATTGTACTCAGTAATAATTAACTTTCTATTGCGTAGTTTAAATAATATAAAAGAAAGAATGGATGGTGTAATCATTTTTGTAAAAGATGTTTATTACCATTTTTTATTTTATTGTAATTTTAATAATTAGTTTTTATATACATTTTCTTACAGAATTATCGGGCTCTAACCTTTAAAAAATTTTTTTTTTTGAATTTATTTACACCTTATCTTTTAAAACAAAATTATCAACAAAGTCTTGGATCATGTCCACCAAGCGATTTCGGTACAAGTCATCTGTATTGAATGCCTCTAGACAAATCTCGATGCGTTTGTGACTAAAGAAATCACTGAAGCCATCCGCAGAGCTGGTCAATTTCTGGGTGCAGGAAGGTGGGAGAATCACCAAATGGCAGAACAAACAGCTCTCAATCAAGCCAATACTTCGGAATTCCTCCACGGATTCGTAGAAACTCTGCTCCGTCATAAATCGAGCTATATCCATATCAGCTCGCTTAAGGAACTCAGTCATAAAGCGGTAATATTCCGACAGAAGTTCACTAAGATGGGCATCCCTGAATGCCTTCGATGTGGGTATTGTGAGTACGGTCAGGACATCGAGGGCAGGTGGGGCATATCTGGCCAACTGAAAGTCCACAAGGCGACACTGCAGAGGACTTTCCCCATATTTGCCATATTGGAACATTATATTATTGGCCCACAAATCGCCATGGAGTATGGTATTTTGATATACGTCAGAGGTTTTGACGGCCTCGAAAATGTAGGACATCTTTTCAGTGAAGTTCTCCAATATATAGTCCAGCTGTGACTGATATTTCGGTATCAATTTGATGAACTCCTTGATCACCTGGCAGGCATTTTGAAAGTTCACCACTCTCAGATGATCTGCGGTCACATCGCAGGGATAGGCATTCTCCACCACCGATTTTGGCTGCAATTCGGTTAGTTTTTTGCCCGTTCGATGCTCCTGAATAATGGAACCCGCATGCATGGCGGCCAAGGTTTTCAGGCAACAATGGAGCTGTTCGTAGGACAATAAACCATCACGACCGGCACCCATGCGATATCCCTGATCGGCCAGATTCTCGAAGACCAGCAGATTCTTATCCGCATAATAGCACTTGGGCGCCACTTCGGCGCAGGCTTTGTGCAAATCTGGGAGTACGTTCTGGTAGACAGCGATTTCCTTTTGGAAAACACCGAAATCCTCCAGATACTCCATCCGCGAAGCATTTCCCTCAGGAGCCGACTTCGCGAAGAAGGTCAGCTGCTTGATTTCCTCGGGATTGTGGAGCTGAAGAGTGACCTGCAGGTAAAAGTGGCTACCCAAGTATCCAGCCGGTGCATCTGATGTGGGTCTCAATTGATAACTGACTATATCAAATCCAGTGTCAGAATTGGAAACATCCTGATGCAAATAGCGCTGGCACATTCCGCGAATTTCGGTGGGACTCAGTTCTAGTGCGGTAGCCATCTCGAAGTCAACTGTTTGGAGTTCTCAGTATGCCATTAACCTTTTATATACGACATATGCGACTTTCCCTCCAGACCATTGTAAATTGTGTCGAGATAAAGTCCGCAGATACGAAAGTTTGTGCAATACGACACCTATAAAGGGTTAACTGAAATCGCAGGAGGCTTATTTGCTTTTGGCCTAGACGGTGGATCAAAAAATTAGGGGTCAGCTCTTGTGAGTGTGGCAAATCAGGTGTTTACCTGATGAAAGCGAAACGATATTCACGAAATTATTAATTATTTTAAAATCATGTTCTAAATTGAGATGTTTTATAATTACATTTTTGAGCAAATTGTATATCTGAGGACCGTTGATTAAATTTAGAAATCGTTTAAATATTAAAAACAAGTATGTTTTATATTACTATTTGCCAAAAATATATTCTTTGAAGAACATAATTGTTTTTCGAACTATTGACCAGATTCAACTACCATGTATTATTTATATAAATGTATGCTTTACACTTTATAATATTAACCAAATATGCCCCATTTTTCCAAATAATTGTTATCGTATGAGCTTGACTATTCGCTTATCTATTACAATAATTTTAAACTAACCAAAGAGATAATTCTTTGTGCGCAAGCCGCTCGCACTTCCCAGTTGCCAACTAAATGCTAGGATTTATAGGAGATATAACTTAAAAGCTGATGTGGTAAGCTTATCAAATAAATTGTGACTTAAGGCTTTATTTGCATGAGGTAAACAGAGTTTATTTCACCTAAAAAGTAATCTTTTGGTAAATGTTTGTTTAATGCCCGGACACTTGCGTGCTAGAAGTCTGAGAAAATCAGCAGCTGTTGAATTCAAACGAGATGGATAACCAAATTTGGTCATTAATGGGGGATAATAATTTGAGTTTCAGTGGCGAAACAAATTAGTGACAGACTGGACCCCGAAGTGACCGCAACCCAAATGAGATTTAGCCGAATTATAGAGGAGTATCTAAAGAACTCCACTTTGCATGGAGCCCGTTTTATAGTGGACAAGGATGCCAGTTGGATAGAGCGCATCTTTTGGGTTATTTGCCTTGTGGTTTCTTGGTACGCCTCCTGGTTGCTTATCAAAGCCTCGTTGAGTGAGTAACCGGAGATAATGACAAGGTGTTAAATCTTACCAGGTGTTACTTTGATGCCTTTCAGGTGCCTTCGAAAACAATGCCATCAGCTTTGTGGTGGAGAGTTCGTTTCGCGATTGGAACACCAACTTTCCAGCCATTATAGTCTGCGAATCAAAAAATATGGATCGTATACAGGAGGTGGCTGAACAGTAAGTGGTTGTCTAGAATTTCGGGAAAATATTATATATCCATCTGATATTTATTTTTATAATTACTAATTAGACAGTATAAATTTTGGTGAAAAGTTGCCGAATTTTACTATTGGGTTATTAATTCTAAGAACCACAATTTTGCTTGAAATATTCATGATCATAATTTTTTTTAAGACAATAACAAAGCGACTACCTCTTATTCCATAAAATTTTGTTTTATTTAATTTATTTAATTTATTTGTTTTAGTTTGTTTCCCGACGATGGGAAATTTTACTAACAAATTAAAGAAATATATCTTTAAATTGTTTGGAAATACAAAGTTACAGTTTTCTAAAAACATATGTAAGTGCAGAAACAATTTCTTAAACTTCAATTTTACGTATGACAAAATTACGTAGTAAAATAATATATATAATAATTCTAGATTGTGTCCTTAACTGATTCAATTTTGTACACAATCGATATCATTTCTAGACTTTGGGGAGCAGATCACGACTTCACTTTGGAGGAGGTGCTGAGCGAGATTGCATTCTTTCGCGGAGAATCATATCACACAGTGCATGAATGCAGTGGCGAGGAGGTGACTGCCTCATGTTTTTACTCCAATTTCTCGTATTATGCTGAATTAGTTCGGAGCAGTTGTGTGGACTCAATTAGCAAATGTGAGTGGAATAACAAACCATTTGAGTGCTGCAAGTACTTTCATCGCATGGAAACTGAGCTGGGAATCTGCTATGCCATTAATTCGATGCAAGCTGGGTGCGTTTTAAAAATATAACAAAATTTATAATTTATAAATAATACTAATAATAGTTTTATAATTTGATTTACTTTTATAGAAAACCAAAAAGTCCAAAACTAAATATGTTTTCAAATCGTATTAGTGGACCGGGCACTTTGAAAATGGAATTGCATACGGAGGCTACGGTGAGGTTATAATATCTATATAGTTGGATTATTTAAGTTTCTTGTTCAGAGGCTAATTAAAACAAATTAGTGAATAATTTTGTTTTCCTGCATTATTCTAATATTTTATTATTTGGTCAAAATAACTAAGTTTATAAAAAGAACACCGTGTCATAAATAAAAAAACAAAAATGTTTACGAGATTAATTATATGTGAAGCTAAAAACTTTATAACCTAAAAGTGTGCTTTATTTTTTATAAAAGCTCTCGACTTAATTGCAATACTAAGCATTATAAACATGAAATATTTAAATTAAAGGTCTTTATCCTTGGCACTGAGGAGGTGCCCACATTGGTGACCCCTAAAACGGATTTTCTAGTAGTGGGACCCTACATATCCTTTGTGTTAGTATATATGAGAGATATATAATATAAATATTTATTATTACCTAAAATATGAACTTTCAGGCGTTATATCTCGAAGCGCGATATTGAGAACGATGAGGAGATCCGTCAGACGAGTGTGCATCAGAGGAACTGTCGCTTTGCTGATGAAAATATCCTGGATGTGCACAAGTTCTATAGCTATAGTGCCTGTACGGTACAGTGTCGCAAGGATCGGCAGATGGAGTTGTGCAACTGCTCCAGCCACCTGTCCCCCAATTCCCCCGACTGGCAGCTGTGCAACATGGACGGTCTGGAGTGCCTGAATCGCAACTACGAGGACCTCTCGGTGATCATTGCCCAGTGGTCGAAGCGTCGCGGTCGAAAGGGATTGGTCTGCGACTGTCTGCCCTCCTGCACGGAGGTGGACATCACAACGGTCTACGACAGCAAGGAAAATTTGGTGGGCAATCAGAATCCCGTCTCTAGGATCGAGGTGGGTCTCATCGAATTACCCACTGAGCGGTACAAAAGGAACTTGGTACGCGGCAAACTGGATTTGGTGGGTAAGTACATTCGATGATAATAATGTCTTAAGCATTCAGGACTACTTCGCTTCTAGTGTCCATCGGAGGCACAACTGGTCTTTTCGTGGGCGCCAGTCTACTCAGTTTTGTGGAGATTTTTTACTATATCACCATTCGTCCTTATACCACTTATATGAACGAGAAACGTCGCCTAAAGCGTCTGATTTTGCCTGGGAGATCACATTGAATTAAAGTTGCTTACTTCTTTGGAACGATCGAAATGACCATATAAATATTCTTCAATAAATACATAGAAAAAAGTTATGTATTTTGAATTTTTTAGAAAGAATTACATTTTGAGGCAAACATTCAAAATTTTTAATTAAAAAAAATAAACATAATAAACTTTGCGAAGCTCTCTTAAATCTCATGTTTTTGAATATTCCTAAAATACAACATTTTGTATAACGACAAACTTAAAAACTTTAACGTTTTTCTTCTGACTGAACAATAATCAGATGATTTCTAAGTCAACATTTTTATTTTATAAAGCCAAAAGGAGTTTGTTTTTCCGCTGTAAAATAATACTTCCGCATTTTAATCGTCTAAATACTACTACATCAAGAAACGCGCCTTTACCTAAATCTTATCGTTAGATAAGGCTAACAGCTGTTCATTAAAAAAAAAGATCACGTTGTGAGAAAATAAAAACTGAGCAAAATTCTATTTTTGCTCAGTTGTGCACGGCCAACAGTTGCAGCTATAGTTGGCTGAGTGGAAAGTGCCGGAAAATTTGTCTCAGCCCAGTGAGTTTTCTAGAAAAAAGAGAGTGAGAGAGAAGTCGAACGTATACGTAATACGCGCCGTACCTTACGTATACGCAACATAATGCTTTCCCGCAGTGAATGCGAGAAAATCTTGAAAAATGCGCTAAAAAGTGACGAAAAATCCAAACTATTGGACTACCATGTGGCGAGAGACCTCACTGCGATCGGTTATCTGGGGGATTACTATGCACTGACTTTAAGCTATTGCCATGTGAGTATGATCTTTACTTTATAGAGTTTATATCTTCATGATAGGTTAGCTCATGCTTTAAGACCCAATGTTGGTCTCCATAAAAAGATAAAAAAAATAGAAAAATGTGTCTATAATAAATGATAGTGAAAGATAAGTGCTCTTGACTGAATTAAAAAAAAAACATAATTGACTTACTTAGTAGCAGTTGTTGGCGCTAAAAAAAGGAAATAAAAAAAGTTATCGAAAAATTAGTTACTTTCCAAATTGTTAAGGAAAATCTACTTAAAACAATATGTACATTTTCTATAAATTTCTTAATGTTTTTTCCTGGTTAGTAAAAATGAGTTTATATTTAAAAACTAATAGATTTCTGATCAAAAAATAAGTGTTTTAATTGTTTTTTCTGATTAACAAACATACAAATTATTCTATAAACAAATATTTATAGATTTCTTATCAATTTGTTTAGTTACCCTATAGTTAATTTAGTATTTATTTGACAACAATTTGTCAATCTCCTTCCCACTGATTGTTTATTGAAATCAAAAGATAACCATTGTAAAATCCATATAGTCATTTTTTACATATTTTTTACTGCAAATTAACCTAAAAATGTGCTATTTTGTGGCCTACTTTCAGGAGGAAGACGAAGTCGTTCGAGATATTCAACTCTTTGTGAAGGCTATGCCCCAGAACAGTGCTGAATTGGCTAAAGAGGAAATTTTCCAAAAAGAGGCCTGGCTTTACGACACTCTCCTGGGAAAAATGCAAACATTTTGTAAGTAATCTTTAGAAAAAACACTTTAAAAAATAATAATAATAATTACTTTTATAGCCAACATAAAATGGAGCGCGGATTGTGTGTACACTCGTAATGATTTAATGGTCCTGGAGGACATCAAACTGCAGGGTTTCAGAGCAGCTGGCTCCACCGAACTCAATGAGGCTCACATGAAGCAGTTGATCGAATCAGTGGCATCCTTTCATGCTGCTAGTTTGATCTACGAACATCGGACGAAAACCAATATAGGTCAAACCTATGGTGATCATTTGCTGGAGATCACTGTAGCCTCGGAAATAGCCTGGTTCACCACAGGACTCTCGGCTGTCTTGGCCGCCATTCGAAGTCTTCCCCAATATCAGGCAACCGATGAACTATCCTTTATAGATAACAAACTTTTGACCATAGTGGAGGAAATCTACGAGCAGGCTGCTCCCTCGAAAAAGTACAGGAATGTCCTCTGCCATCGCGATCTTTGGGCTGGTAATATTTTCTTTCCCCCCGAAAAAACTGGACCCGCATTGCTAATTGATTTTCAGACCTGCCGCTACACTCCCCCCGCATCGGACTTAAATTTCAGTCTTTACTTGAATTTGGGTTCAAGGGAACGCAAGAAAATGGAGAGGAAATGCATTGATTTGTACCATACACATTTATTGCAGAATCTTTCCGATTTCGGGCTAGAAGAACTAATGATTACCAAATCGGAGCTACTTGAATCCTACGAAGAATTTCGTTTATTTGGCGTGGTTTACAGAGCTGTCGTTGCTACGGTTGTAAAAGTTCCCGCCGAATTTGTGACGAATGATTTTAAATACGTGGATCGCAGCAAAGTGATACTCTCCTATATGAAAACGAACCAAGAGTTCAGGACCCACATGGAGGAGTGCTGTGTGGATGTCATGGAGATGGCCTTGTCCAGGGCAAACGTGTGAACAAATCTCGTTTCTCGTCACTGCCGATAAGAAAATCGGCGATAGCAAGTCATTATAAATAAACCAAAAAATTAAAAACTCATGAGCAAAACTTAAATACTCTTTTATTTGGAAAATTTACGAAACAAAAGTGCAAAATAATTTCAGTTTAAAAAAGAAAATGTTTCAAAATGTATTCAATAATATTTATAATGCCAATATAAAGTTATAAATTTTGATAGCATATATGGTGAGCCTTGACCATAAGATTAAGATTACTTGTTAAATAATATATTTTTGTAAAGTCATCTATACCTCAATATATTTAAGAGTATTTTCTCTCAGTAAAATTTTCAAAGTCAACTGAAAACGAAAACAGTTGCATTCAAACACTCGAGCAGTTCAGTTGTGAAAGTAGAAAATGAGTAAAGACGGCGATAATCCCGTACTAACGCGAAAAAATCGCATGGAATTGTTTACTGCAGAAGAGTGTAAAGAGATTTTAGCAAATTTATTGGCCGATAAGAACGAAAATGGCATGTTAGTAAATTTTGATATAGTGCCGGCCACAGAACATGTGGGTTTTTTGGGAGAATACTTTCATCTGTATCTGCGGTATCAGTTGAAAGATCAGAGTGATATACAAAGTTCTCGTTTGTTTGTCAAGTCGGTGATTTTTCAAAATGCCAATATGGAATTCTATATGGAGAAAATGGGAGTTATTAAAAAGGAAATAAAGCTTTATCAACTGTTGCTTAACGAGTTAAAGAAGTTTTGTAAGTATATAAATAATATATTTTGGTGGCTTAAATAAATATGTTTTTTTCATAAAAAACAGCTCCCCATGTGTGGTGTGCAAAGTGTTATTTCACCCGCGATGATCTGTTTGTAATGCAAAATGTGGAGGACATGGGCTATGTGGCTTTGCCATCGGAAACTCGTTTCCTAAGCGAGAATCAAATAACCCCCATTTTAAAATCCTTGGCCACTTTGCATGCCAGTAGTATTGCCTACGAAAAGCAGCTGGGTAAAACCATAGGAGTGGAGTTGAGAGAGTGGCTCAAGGAAGTCTCTGTGGATCCGGATGTTGAATGGTATACTACGGGCTTAAGGGTAAGGTGTTTTTGAGAAAAAACCCATTCTTTTAAATTCTTATAGTTTTGATTGTAATTTATTTAGGCTGTCTTGGCAGTGGCTGCCACCCATCCTGATGTCTTGGATAATGCACAAGCCCAGGAGTTTATTGCCAAGGATTTACCGAGATGTCTGGACAAGGTCTACTATATGGTTAATCCTTCACCAACTCACCGGAACGTCTTCGTTCATCGCGATGCCTGGGGTGCAAATGTTTTTTATCACAAGGAACAGCCGCAGGAGAAAAGATCTGTTCTGGTCGACTTTCAACTCTGCCGATATGCCCCACCTGCCATGGATTTTCACCTTGCTACCTATTTAAATCTGGAACCCCGAAATCGTAAAATGATGATTGATGGTCTGGCCCAAACTTATTACAATGCATTGACCGATGAACTTCGAGATATGGGCATTGATCCCAATCAGGAACAACTGAGTAAACAGGAGTTTGAGAAATCCCTGAAGGACTTTGCTTTATTCGGAGAGACCTACAATTGCATAGCGGCCACCATACTCCATCTGCCCAAAAATTATTTGAAAAACCTCAAGGATGAACGGCCCGAGGATTTCCATAGGTTCTGCAATGTAGATCGCACGGAAGATGTTCTTCGTTTGATGAAAGAACATTCAGAATTCGCTGATTATATGTATGAATGTGTTGGCGATTTGCTGGCCCTGACATACAAGGAAAACTGATTAAACGACATTGTAGCACTCACTATCTTTTCCTGTTCCCCTGGTTACACTTGGAACCATATCAGTTTGGCCAGTGATTTTTGTTTACCCACCTCTACTCTCCACCCACTGGATTATCTTATCGCTGAAATTTAAGGGGGCCTATGAGTTATTTAATTAGGGTACATGCACTTTTTAGTCCGTTAAGCCATTGTATATGAGCAGTGTTGGAAAAGGTGCATGTTTTTGGATTCTGGGTAAGATACAAGATTTTAAAGAAACTAAGTACCTAGGTATGGTAAAAGGTACACAATTTGTCAAGTATCTGGGAAGGGAAAAAGGTACAAAAACTGTTAAAAAGCAAATTTTTTATAGAATTTTTTAAACATATTTTGGGTCAATTTGTTCTTTACGAAGTTATGATGATATTGTGTATACGCTCTGGCATTTAAGTCTGGTTATAGAAGGTTTCTCCTAGAAACACGAAAAAAGAAACATCTTATATCTTGCATATGCGGTGGAATTAACTTTTCATCAAATTGCTTTGAAATTATGATATTTTTTATTAGCATATTGGCGAAAATAATTAGTTAATACAAATATTTCAGTCCCGAAATACCTAAATAGCAAATTTCTAAAATAAATAAAATGGCTTACCTAGGTACGGTAAAATCGTACTCTCACATTCTTTTACCGGTAGGGTACAAGGTAAAAAAAAGTGGTACCAAGGTAAAAGTATCAAAGTACACCCCAACACCCCCATATAAGAGTCAAAATGCGGTTTCTTTTAAAGGTGCTTAAATACAAAAGAAATACAATTTCTATAGTCCAACTAGAACTCACTAAACAAAAAGCGTCCAAACTTTACGTCAAAGTTGGAAACTTAAGTGTAGAATGGGTCATTCTTTTGTAAGTCAAAAATATTTGGTAAAAAATATGCTCGCATTTTTAATTTTCCTTATGAGATGTCTTGTAAGAAAATATATGGTTCAAAACTGTTATTAAATCTTGCGCAAATCATAACTTAAAGATAATTTTTATTTGCGAAATCCTGTTTAGTTATTTACCGACGAGAATCTGCAAAAAAAAATTTAGATCAATTAAAAATGTTACTTAATAAAAAGTTTTTGGCTTACAAAAAAAGTCCCATAAACAACATTTTCTAGTGTATCAACAACGCTTTATATTTTTGATGATACAAACAGAGAATGCATCTTTAATGTACTTGCTTTTTTAAGTATTTTAATGTCTTATCTCAGATCTTGTTATAAAAGATATATTTGAGAGCCAGTTCTATGGTTTATTGAGTATGTTTTCAGAAGCCAGGCGGATAACATCATTTAATTTTGGACCATGGATCTACTCAGCTCAGAGACTAGTTTGCGTAGAAACGGACGGACAGACGGACGGACAGGCAGACGGACATGGCTAGATCGACTCTGTCATTGATCCTGGTCAAGAATATATATACTTTGTAGGGTTGGAAACGTTTACTTCTACCAGTTACATATTTTCAACGATCACATTATACCCTTTTATTCTATGAGTAAGCGTAGGTGTGTAAAAGGTTTTCGGTTTGTAAAAAAAAAATTACCCGACTACAAGATTTTGTAGTTTATCAACAACGCCATCATATCTTGGATGATAACAAAAAAAGAGAGCAAGTTTAATCTTTTTTCTTTAAAGATAACTTTAATATCTTATCCCAGATAACGATATAAAAGATATATTTGAGAGTCAGCTTCTATGGGTTATTTAGTTAGTTTTCAGAAGCGAAGCGGATAACATCATTCAATTTTGGAAAATGGATCTACTCAGCTCAGAGGAATGTCTACTAATAGCGCAGACAACTCTTCCAGAAGTCAACAAATCCAATCTGATAGTTCTTAGCTCACAACTGGATGCATGTTCCAGTGATTTGATGGGTTACATGGGAGAGTACTATAAGTTCGAATTAGAAGTGGAGGATATAGCGGAGAAGAAAAAATATTGCCTGAAATATTTTATCAAAAGTTTGCCATGCAAAAATGAGCCACAGAGAAAAGAATGCGAACGCAAGGGAGTTTTTAAAAAGGAATCTGCGGTCTACAGCCAGATGTTACCTAAAATACAAAAATACGGTAAAAAGAAGTTATAAGCTTTATATATTTTGTTGATATTTTATTAAAATATATTATATTTTTCAGGCACCAAGAAGCTTTTTCCCGTATGTTATTATAGTCGGAATGATATTCTGGTACTGGAAGATCTTACCCAAAACTATAGGCATCTTAAGACTCCAGAGAGCTATACCATAGATCATTATAAACTGGTTTTGGAGCACTTATCTGAATTGCATGCTGGAAGTATTGCTTGGGAAGAAAAAGAGCATTTAAATATTCAGGAACGTTACAAAGATGTGCTTATAGAGTTGCACTTGGATGCGGATAATTCCTGGTACATTACTGGTCTTAAGGTAAGTTACTTAGTTAATTTATATAGTCAAATTATATTTTAATTTTAAAATAATTTCCTAGGCCATTGTATTTTTAGCAGCCCGACATCCGCAATATCAAACCAAGGAAGCACAGACTTTTATTCAAGAAAAACTCTACAATCTATTAACAAAAGCTGAAGAATTCGTGGCACCCTCAAATACTATTAGAAATGTGCTATGTCATCGCGATACTTGGGATCGTAATATCCTGTACAGCTTTGAGAAAGATTCTTCTTCTATACCCAATGCTTGTTGCATTGTAGATTTTCAACTCACTAAGTACTGTTCGCCCACATTAGATGTCTTATTTCTACTCTATATTGTAGCCTCGGCTGAAGTCAGGAAGGAGATATATGATGAGTGCCTTGAGCACTATTATAAATCCCTAGAATCTCATCTCATCCGACTGGGTTTGGACAAGAATATTATTACTCGAGAGAACTTTTTGCAAGAATGCCAACGAACACGATTAGCTGCCCTGCTTATTTGGGCTCTCACCGAGCCTCAAACCAAAATGTCACCAAGTATCTCGAATAGATTACGATCTGAAGAGCCAGAGAAATTCGACTATTACCTCAACTGCGATCGCAGTGAACTGTTGCTAAGGGTTATGGAGATTCAACCGGGGTACGAGCAGACTATCATGTCGCCTATCAGGGAACTGGTGGATTATCTCATGGAGAATGCAAATTTATATGCCGAGAAAGCTGAAGATAAAAGCGGACTTTAACTTTTAAAAAAAGTAAGTCAAATCGTTCAAGGAATTATTTTTAAGGCTGTGTTGAAATGATTTACACAATCTAAAATATTATCATTACAATGATCAAAGAGTTTTATAAATATAACAAAAATATTTAAAAGTCTTTTTCAATAGCTTAAAATGTACATATATTGGGTTGTATTTTAAAAGCTCGAACCATTTAATTTAAAAAAGACTTTTGTGCTTTTCATCATATTGTTTTTAAAGTTGTGTTCCCTTTAACATTAACTATTTTACGATTTCATTTCGAAAAATTGCATTTTATTTGGAACCTAGTTGTAAAGTGAGAGTCGCCTAGCTAGAATTACATAAATACATGGGTAAATTTTGACAATCAATTTAGCTAGCTAGAAAATTTCAGGCATATGTGGCTCGAAGCAAGATCATCCCGGAGATCATCTGCGTAGCAAGTAAATAGTTTCCTAAGTAGTCGATTTTCAAAGGCGGCAAGCTAATCAGTCCAGCAATCCTCGTCGTCCTCCTCGTCGAAGTCGCGCACATTGAAGTCCTCGTGGAAGAGATCCTCGCCTTCCTCCTCCGAGGACTCCGACTGTCATCTGTGGCCATTGATGCGCTGTGGCAGTCCGACCACGCCCACTCCCTTGGGCGGTCTGGGTATCCGAATGCTGGTCGATGGACCAGCCAAGTTCGAGGTCGATCCCGTAGCTGATCCCCCATTGGTTTTCCCAGAAACACTGGGTATCAGTTGGGCATTCAGCATGGTCGTATGCTCAAAGCAATTGCAGCAGTATTTATCGCATCTGACCACCAGGATGAGTCCTGCCATCATCCAAATGAGCAATCCTGGCCAAGAATGTCTGGCACATTCACTGAACAGGATCACGCCCATCAGCAGCGACATTCCACAGATCACGGGATTCACGTTGATCACACTGCCCGTGTATTTGGGCACAAATCCCATCATAATGGTCACGATCAGGACCCCAATTCCTCCAGTCAAAGCAGCCGGAGCCCAGTGCATCATGAGACCAGCAATGCAGAGTGCAATTCCCAATCCAATGACCACAATGGCGAAAATGGTCACGCGCCAGGAACTCACTGTTGGCACACGTACACTGCGCTCCAAAGGACCTGCTGTGGTTACCTGATATTATAGAAAATAATTCAGATTAATCAAATAAAGCTGTTTAAACCTGATTTTTACCTTGATCTTCTCGCGATACTCGTCCACAATGGCATCGATGTCTGTTGAGGTGTCCGAATCGCTTTTATCAAACTTATCTGGGTACTCAAAGTCAGATGGCTAAAGAAAAATAATTGTTTTATTTATACATTTTGTTAAACAAATCATTTACTTAAGGTTTGCTCTATAGACAAATGTTTCTAACTTTGCAATACTATTATTGTTCTTAACCTGACTTAAATAACACATATTATACATTTTCTAATTAAACTTAATAATTTTAGGTTTTTATTAAACTAAATATGTAACAGCTTAAAGTTATTTGTAAAATGTTGAACAAGTATCCCGCCAACTTCAATATAATATGATGAAATAATAATAAACCAGCAATATAAAGTAAACTTTTGGGAAAGTTTTATGATTTATGTTTTAAGTTAAAATTTATTAATTTTGCAGATTTAAAAAATCATTTTTTCATCCCAAAAAGTGACTCTTTTTTTTAAACCGATGCCATTTTGTTAATATTTGATACTTTTCAAAGATCGTATGTCATTGTAGGGGAAATATATTTTTCTTTTATATATTTCTTGTGCAGTGTGGTTAACTTTTTTTCGAGCCTCTAAAGACAGCCCACAGTCCCGTTATTTCTCAATGTTTTTATAATATATAAACCTTAAATTAAAGTTCAAAACTTTAATTATTATGTGCAAAAATTTCAAAACCTTCTATTAGGTTTTTCCTCACAAACAAATTCCAAAAATTACATATTTTTTCATGGAGTAAACTGGTATAGCCCCTTAAGTAACGCACCCCATAATCAACTTTAATAAATACCCAGCTAGACTCACCGGAGGTTCGCCATCGGACAGAATGGTTGACTCCACATCCCTTCCTTCACGTTGAGGACATGGCGATGTGGGTTCGCCCAGGAGCAGCCACTCCTTCTCCAGCTCCTGTTTGTTTCTGGGCTTCGATTTTGGCTTCTTCAAGCCACCGTGCTTGGGAAGACCGATCTTCCAGAGACTTCTTTTCAAGCGACTCGAACTTGAAGTTGCAGCACTGCTATAACTACTGCTCCTGGCAATCGGTGCTGTGGACAGACGACTGTACGACAGTGAAGACTCGCTGCTCGGAGCCATGAATTTGGGTCTGTATGGGGTATACAGGAGATAGAAGGCCCGCAGGAATGCCCCACCCATATGGCCAGCGGCTAATGTGTAACTGAGATGCTGCAGCGGACAGGCGAAGGCCAACATGGCACACATGCTGCCGGCAATGAAGACGGCCAGCACAGGATTGCCGCTCTCGGAGCTTTCGTAGCTGATCTGCTTGGACAGAATCCGCCACTCCGAGGTGGCCAA